GAAGCCGAAGTGACCTCTCCAGTGCGAGAAAGATCGCACGCGAACAATGCAAGAGTGCTTTGTCTTGAATGCCAGCTAAAGACAAGTTTAGCCAAGAACACGCGTATCGACGGCGTTTTTTGTTTTCTTGAGTGTTGATGCAAACAGTATCGAATAGAAAAAAAATCTTGTTTGTCTGTGAGTTGATTTCAATTATTATTGAACTCAAATGGGTTCCAAAAGCAGCTCAATTCTGGGCACCGAAAACGGGCCCTAGATTTTGGATTTCCTGTGTGAACATACAAGGCCACCCAGGTTGGAGCCTCAAATTGGAACCCAAGTTTAGGAGCCATTTTTGGCCCCAGTTGCGGCGTTGTTTTCACACACGGGAAGCCAGATCTGGCTTTCACAGCTCCTCGTTGCGAGTAAAACAAACAAGCCTCTCAGTCGGTTCGAGTCTAAGTCTTTTGTGTCAGTCTTCCCCCAAAATTAGAACAGCAGGCAGCAAGGCGGCAAAGTGTGAACTTGTTTGGCACCGGAACTTTCTCTAACTGTGGAGGTCACTGGAGCTTCCCTACCTTTTCGATCAATTTTGCTGCCCCTCATCTTGGGTTTCAGATTCTCCAGGTTTTGGTGCAAGGCCTGAAGGCAGAAGAGGAGGGTGCAGAGTCAACATCGGTGGAAACTGCAGCTTGGAAAAGTTCAATGCTTTGAAACAAGTGTTTTTAAAAGCCTGACAGTGCCGTTTGGACAGAAATCAACTGCAGGACGAGACGAGTTCAACCGTGGTGTTGATTCGTTAAGGTTGCGCGCGACGCCCAAGCCAAACCACTCGAAAATTGCAAAGTGTATTACCAGAATGTGAATAAGTGCGAGCGAAGCGAGCGAAACACCAGAGTAAATTCAACAAATTTGACTGATCAAGTGTTGATTTGAGGGTTTTTTCAACATTTTTGGATACTTCAGAAATTTTGAAAATTCGTTGAATGGAGCTGAATCCAGGGAAGAATTGCAACGTGCAACCAAAAACGAAAGACGAAATTGAGGGCACCCAGCCTGAAAGAAAGCTTCTGCTCAATCTTCTGTTAAATTTCAGTGTGCCTTGAATAATGGAATGGAAATGAGGCTGGGCGACTCTCAAGTCGTTCTGGCCATGAATGAGGAGAGGTCAATTGTTTCTTTTTTCAATGTTAGCAAGAACTGCAAAAACATTGGTTTTTCTTTTTTAACTTTGGAGAAATGAGAAAACTGGAAAGAAGCCAGAGTCATGAAACTTAGACAACTTTCTTCAGATTCAGCAGATTCATGCACAGCAACACTTTTTTTTTCAGTTCAAATTGCCTTTGCCCGTCTGAACAGAATTTTTCTCTTGCTTTTTGCTCAATGTTTTCTTTGTTTTTTGTCGGAATGCTATCTCAGTTCAGTTGCAAGCTTTAGAAAGAGAAAGTTTCAAGAAACCGCCCTGAACCAAAACACAAACAGATCGTTCAGCAAGTGTTTTAGTGAGTGCTGTCAGCCCGGTAAGCTGTCTGATTGACCAGAAAGACAGTGAAAAAAAATGCAATCGGAACTTAAGAGATCCATAAGAATGTGCATTTTGTGGTTTTGGCTGTTTTTCTGTGTGTGCATGTACAAGTGTTGTGGATGTGTGTGTGTGTGAGCATGTGTGGTTGCAAAGTGGGTTGGTTTGCGGGCATGTCTTTGGCTTTTAGTGTGCAAGGAAAGTTTCAGTGTGTGGGTAAAGGGTGGTAACGCATGGAGTCTTAGAAGTGACACCAAAAAAAAACAATGACCTTGCAAGTGTCTGTGTATTTACCTTGTTTTTTCATTCTGAATGGGTGTGTTGTGGTTTCGGCGTTTTGGCAGTGTGTTATGGAGTGTGGTGTGTGTGTCATTATGTGGGTGCAAAGTGGCTTTGGTGGGTGGTGTGCGTTTGCGTGTATTTCAGCTGGGTTCTGCTGGCTGTTCAAGTGTGGAAGTGTGTGGGTGGTAAAAGGTGTGTGGATTTGGAGACACAAAAAGAGGGCAAGAAATCAACTCCAAAAGGTAGGGAAGCCGAAGTGACCTCTCCAGTAGATTCATTAATTATATTAATATCAGAGGTGCCTGACAGTGCGCGTGCTTTCGCAAGGCCGGTGATTTGGTACAGGTGCCTTTGCGAGGTGTTGCAGAGATCATTGTGCCGAAAGATATTTTCTGAATGCTAGGACATCTGTGTTGCATTTTGATGCTGCGCGCACGGTGCCGGGCGGGGCACTTTGGTATGGGTGCTGCAATGCAAAGACGATTGACTATTGTCCCAAAAGACTACTTCCTGAATAGTGCTGGGAAGTTTCCGTGGCGTTTGCATTTGGGGCGCTTGGTAAGTTGCTGCACTTTGGTATGGGTTCTTTTGCGAGGAATTGTAAAGTAGCGCTCTGCTGCAGGACTGTGTTCTGGGATTCTTGTGTGGCATTTTGATCTGGGTGCATGGTCCTCGCTGGTGCACTTCGGTTTGGGTTCTTTGGCGAGGTGGTGCAAAGATTATTGTGCCAAAAGACTATTTCCAATAGTGCTGGGAAGTTTGCGTGACGTTTCTATTCTGGGCGGTTGGTAAGTACTAGCTGCTGCACTTTGGTATGAGTTCTTTTGCGAGGAATTGTGAATTGCCACTGTGCTGCAGGACTATGTGCTAGGATTCTTGTGTGGCATTTTGATTTTGGGCGCATGGTCCTGATGGTTCACCTGGGTATGGGTGCTTTGGTGAGGCATTGCAAACACCTTTGTGCCGAATGAATGGGTTAGGAAGTTTGTCGCATTTTGATTTCGGGCGCGTGGCATTTTGATTTTGTGCGCATGGTCCAGGCTGGTGCATTTGGGTATGGGTGCTGTTGTAAGGCATGGCAAAGACCTTTGTGCCGAGTGAATGGTGCTAGGAAGTTGGTGTGGCGTTTTGATTTTGTGCGCATGGTACCGCTGGTGCACTTCGTTATGGGTGCTTTTGTGAGGCATTGCAGAGACCTTCATGCCCAGTGAATGGATCTAGGAAGTTTGCGTGGCATTTTGATTTTGGGCGTATGGTCCTGCTGGTCCACTTGGGTATGGGTGCTCTTGTGAGGCATTGCAAAGACCTTCGTGCCGAGTGAATAGAGCTAGGAAGATTGTGTGGCAGTTTGATTTTGGGCGCATGGTCCTGCTGGTGCACTTCGTTATGGGTGCTTTGGTGAGGCATTGCAGAGACCTTTGTGCCGAGTGAATGGTGCTAGGAAGTTTGTGTGGCATTTTGATTTTGGGCGCATGGTCCTGCTGGTGCACCTCGTTATGGGTGCTTTTGTGAGGCATTGCAAAGACCTTCGTGCCGAGTGAATGGAAGTTTGTGCGGCATTTTGATTTTGGGCGCATGGTCCTGCTGGTGCACCTCGTTATGGGTGCTTTTGTGAGGCATTGCAAAGACCTTCGTGCCGAGTGAATGGAGCTAGGAAGTTTGTGTGGGATTTTGCACTTCCTTATGGGTGCTTTTGTGAGGCGTTGCCAAGGCATCAGGGGTTGTCTGTTTTTGTGCGTCAGCGAGTTGGAATTGTTGTTTTTGTGCCTGATTCCTGGAAGAGGTGTCTTTGGGTCGTACGGAACCCCACAGGCTCCATGTGAGCGTCCAAGAGAGGGCGGCGAAGCAAGTGGAATTGGTTGTTTTTGCGCTTGATTCCTGGAGTTGGGTGGGTTTTTGCTTTATTTGGAGCGTGGGCATGCTAAGAAGTCAGTTCAACGATGCCTCGGCACACGAACTCCGACAGTTCTCTGCCGAGTGAATGGATCTAGGAAGTTTGCGTGGCATTTTGATTTTGGGCGTATGGTCCTGCTGGTCCACTTGGGTATGGGTGCTCTTGTGAGGCATTGCAAAGACCTTCGTGCCGAGTGAATAGAGCTAGGAAGATTGTGTGGCAGTTTGATTTTGGGCGCATGGTCCTGCTGGTGCACTTCGTTATGGGTGCTTTGGTGAGGCATTGCAAAGACCTTTGTGCCGAGTGAATGGTGCTAGGAAGTTTGTGCGGCATTTTGATTTTGGGCGCATGGTCCTGCTGGTGCACCTCGTTATGGGTGCTTTTGTGAGGCATTGCAAAGACCTTCGTGCCGAGTGAATGGAGCTAGGAAGTTTGTGTGGGATTTTGCACTTCCTTATGGGTGCTTTTGTGAGGCGTTGCCAAGGCATCAGGGGTTGTCTGTTTTTGTGCGTCAGCGAGTGGCGGTGTTTTTGTGCCTGATTCCTGTGGTCGTACGGAACACAGGCTCCATGTGAGCGTCCAAGAGAGGGCGGCGAATGGAATTGGGCTTTTGCTTTTTTGGTGGAAGGTGGGACACCAGAGTTTGTGCCGAGTGAATGGTGCTAGGAAGTTTGTGTGGCATTTTGATTTTGGGCGCATGGTCCTGCTGGTGCACCTCGTTATGGGTGCTTTTGTGAGGCATTGCAAAGACCTTCGTGCCGAGTGAATAGAGCTAGGAAGTTTGTGTGGCATTTTGATTTTGGGCGCATGGTCCTGCTGGTGCACTTCGTTATGGGTGCTTTGGTGAGGCATTGCAGAGACCTTTGTGCCGAGTGAATGGTGCTAGGAAGTTTGTGTGGCATTTTGATTGTGGGCGCATGGTCCTGCTGGTGCACTTCGTCATGGGTGCTTTTGTGAGGCATTGCAAAGACCTTCGTGCCGAGTGTATGGAGGAGCTAGGAAGTATGTGTGGCATTTGGTGATTTCTGCTATGCCCGGGCCCAGCGGCTGACTGGGCTTTTGCGTGGCAAGGTGGGACCGGTTCGGGCTTAGGCTGATCACGAGCCGTTGATGACAGCTTTGTCCGGAAGCCGGTGTTCAAACTGGTAGCCCATACCTACTTAAGGCCTCCCAAACCCCAAGCCCTCAAACCTCCGAAAGAACCGTACGGTTTAGGGTTGGGGTGTAGGGCTTAGGGACCCTAAACCCTAAACCCCAAAGCCTGGCTCCGTCGCTCATTGCCTGCTCGGCCGAGGCGGAGGGCCGCTGTTCCTACTGCGTCGGATGGTGCGCCAGTCTTGAGCTTGCTGTTTTCAAGCTGGGTTCTCTTGAAACTGAGTTCTCGGTTCTGTTCACTCCTAGTGGTTCTAATGTCGTGAAACGAAGGATCCCAGTACTGGGGGTGTTAAAGGCTCCCCGTAGTTTTCTGAATTCAGAAAGTTGGGACTCTTGGGCTTGGGCTTCTGTTCCTCCGTAGCTTGGCCCTCGGATTTTGAAGCCTGAAGAAAAAACGCAGGCGACTTAGTAAGTAAGGTTATGAGTACTACTGCAGTTGGGTTCACGGGTCGTGTAAGCTCCCGACGACCTTGGGGTTTAGGATTTTAACTGGGGCCCTTACTTATGAGACTGAGATGGCGACACTCCTGGATTGTCCGATCCAGAGCTACCAGCACCCGTTCATGTAAGGACTTGGGTTTCGGGGCTATGCACACTGCCGAACCTACTAGCCATGATGCAGTCTGGTTTCACTGCTCTGTTCTGCTACCGTAGTTGCCACACTAGTGGTAAACACACCAATCATCATTATTCATCATGGTTATGCCAGCATTCCAGGCAGTGTCCGTAGTACAGTGACTTCAATCGGTAGCTGAATGACGCTTGCTGCCGTCAGTCGCGCGTCATTTTGTGCATCGGCTTTGCTGTTGCCATGACTGTCATCATGATAGCATCGCGCATGCTGTCAACATCACCGTCAGTGCCACTATCCTTACCCTCGTTGTCATGTTCATCCGTGCAACATCTTGCAGTCGTGTGTCGCGCGGCGATGCATGTGCTGCTGCCGCATGTGGTGATGATTGGTTTTGGCATCTTCATCATTCGAGTCGCTGAGAAGCTGTTTGTCTTTTTCCGCGCTCCACAATGTTGTCCTGCCCGTTGCGAGCGGTAGACAAGCACAGTTGCTGCGAGAAGCTCCCTGTTGGATCCCTGAGATCCCTTTGTCTTCCTTCTTGGTCACCGTCGGAGCCCTGATGGCCGAGGTGCCCAAACGGGGGGGGGGGGGCTTGGCGGAGATCGGTTTCTGTCCTTCTTGAGGGCGTCGTCGGCTTGAGGGTCGTAACGGTCTTGGCTCTAGGATCATAACTTCTGCTGCTTCCGGGGGCCACGGGACCAAAAAGGAGCCACTTGTAGCCGCTCGAAAGGGATTCAAGCGTTTGAACACAAGGAAACTCTAAACCCTCAACCCGGGCAGGTTCGGCAGATGTGGTTCATTGCCGTGGTCGTCCCGAGCTCGGTGATACTGCCCTGCTCCCGAAGATGCGTCAGGGAGTAGAGACTACCGGGACTACCGTTTTGGCCTGGTTTTCGAAATTCCAGTTTGCATATGAATTCAGGTTTTTAGTCGGTGTTTCAGCGTGCAGGATTGCGGATTTAGGGCTTAGACTTTGGCTTTGGGGGGTCGAGGTTGGTATTTCTGAAGGTTTCGCATGGGCGGGAGTTCCGGCAAAATCTGGACAGATCCCGAAAGATCCCTAGATAGTGGGACGATCGCACGAACAGCGAAGCTCCTGCTCAAGAACACCCCCCCACCCCTGAGTTTGGACCCATGGACTTCGAAACCGACCCGACACACTAGAAGCCAACGCCCCAAAGCCCTTGTAAGACCTAGGAAGGTCTCTTACACAAAAACGCCGCATAGACTGTCTATTGTCAAGGACTACAAGAAGCCTTAGCAAAAGGGGATCTTAAGACCTTAAGATGTAGAAGATAAATCAGATAAATAAGATCTAGAAGATATATAATCGATATATATATATATATTTTTTTTTTTTAATAAAATACATTATAGTTATTAAATGCCAGTCAGGTGATCTGTTTGAACTACGCCGGCCTCCCGAACGTGCCGCTCATGCGCTTGGCTTCCGGGCCCGACCCTGAGGGGTGCGGAAGCTTTTTTTTTTGTTGCTTTTGTAGGGGTTAGGGAGGATGAGGGTTTAGGGTTCAGGGGTTTAGGGTGTTTAGGCCTTTGGGTTTGGGGTGTTTGTAAGGGCTTCGGACGGTGATGTAAGGAATGTAAGGGCTGTGTAGGAGGTTTTTGTGTGTGGGCTGTCAGCTTGGCCGTATGATGGATACACGTCGCTGCATCGGCTGGTGCAAGAGATTGCCTTTGACAGGGAGAATGTTTCCAGTCCTTGGGTTTCGCAAGGGTTGTCGCAGCTCTTTAGTACTTTTTCCGGTGTTGGGTTTAGGGCTTTTGTGCTTCAGCGTGGGGTTGGGGGTCTTACTAACTGTCGTTCATGTTTCATTGAGGAATTCATAGGGGTAGTTGCGGGGTTTCAACTTTTCTGCATTTTCATAGGTTTTTTGCAAGTTTAAGGGGTTTCTGAAGCCAGAGTGAGATTTCAGGGTGTTGCTGCAGTGCATCCGGTTTGGGAAACAAGGTGCTACTGCGAGTGTCCCATGTGTTTCACATCTCACTCCAACTTCCCATGTCGGTGCCTTCAATAACGATCCGCGAAACGGATCCCTGTTATGTGGAAGCGTGTGGTTCTAGTTGAGATCTGAGCTGCCACGACCCTCCGCAGGGTCGCACCGCCTGGTCGAGTGGGTGAGGCCGGGAGAATCCTCTGCGAGCTCGGCTAAACTTTTCAAAATCCGCGGTAAAATCCTTGCGGCAAGAAAGGTGTCGGCAGTGGCTGCAACGCTAGCAATCAATACCGCTCTCGGAAAATTTGATCCCTCCCTGTGCCGTGAACCTGGAGATTAGGATGCTTATTATTGTAGAACGACAGCAGGGAGCAGCGCAGAGTGCAAGAAACCCGTCACTAATCCCTGGCAACACTCCATATGAAGCATTGTGGGAGACTGGCAAAATCCGATTAAATCCGAGTGGATCCTTATCAAACCCGTCTAAACCTGGAGACCCACCCTCAACCCTAAACCCTAAACCCTAAACCCTATATTTTGAAGACCTCAGCAAAGCCTGGCCGAAACAGGCGCTGAGCTCCATCGGCATTGCAGCCCAGCTCGCCAGCCTCATCGGCAATGCGGCTTGGACCGACCCCTCATGCACTACAGCAGGGCAATAACGATCATGCCAATAATGATGGTGCTGTATGTCACTACAAATATGATGATCATGCTAACAATGGTGAGGTATGTTGCGTTTGGGAGGCGGAAGAGAGAAGCCAGCCTGGGAGGGATTGCGTTTGACAGTCCTTACGAAGCTTGTTTGGAGGCTCTTCTGACTGTTAAGTTTAAAACGTCCGTGTAGTGCCCCTGCAGTCTTTCTTAACAGTGTCAAATACAAACCCTCAGCCCAGATTGCCGTGGCGATCCTGAACCGATGGCTCATGAGCACGGATCTCTACGATCCCCTCTGGCGGCTTCGTTGCACGAAGAGGAGGGGCTTCAGGTTCTCGAGGCCCCAACAGGGTGAAATGGGAGGTTTTACAAGAGTCCAAAGGGGTATCGTAGGTATCTAGGCAGGGTTGTTTTGTACACGAAGCGTACGATCATTGTAAGCAGTTCGTGTATTTTACTGCAAGTTCCCTTCGATCCATTTCATCACGCGCCTGTCCACCCAAGGATCTACTATCCTGCATGTGGCACACTCTCGCTGTGCGCTCATCCCGCTGATCGGGAGCGAGCGTCAATTCTTGGAGGGGGCTTCTTCCGTTTGGCAGTTCGAGCGTCGTTGGGGGTCAGCCTATTCCCTGAGCCATGAACCCAAAATCGCCAATCTCTGTATCTTTTTGCCACCACAGCCAGGACTCCTCGTGGCGGTTGGGGTTCCGCAAGCGGTGACCTGCAGGCGCAGTGTGGGCTTGGGGTTTCGGGCTTGGCACATGCGTAGTTCTGACACGCAAACTGTTTTGGGCTGTCGGTAATGGAAAGCCCATATTGGGGGGACGTTAACCACCCAGGAACCTGCAAGTGGGAGTTTCCGAAAATATAGGGATTCCAATACAGTACCTAAATCGTAGGATCCTTATTCTAAGGACCCCCAAATAAAGTACCCCTGGTTTTCGGAAACTCCCCAGCAGACTGAAGATTTGAAACCCTTCCCGAAGTTGGCTTCAGCCCCAAGCCAGGCGCTTTGCTTCCGTTAATGTCAGCGGTGAGTCGCGATCCAGGCCTCGGAAACTCTGCGAATGGCAGCTTCCCAGTGTCACGTTTAAAGCAGGGGCCAAACCGTCACGGCAGGGCTTCGGGATCCACGGTACAATCATACAGGGCCTTTGAGAGGACATTTCTGTGTATCATTCTTATCTCACCTTTGAAGGTGTCGCGCAGGGCACAGCCCCGAGCTGCGCACAGATTTCGAGCCCCCTCGGTGCTGGGGTTTCCCCATCGCCTTCTCAGAGTTGTTGCTGCTTTTGGGAAGCTGATGGACCTCAGGAGAGGGTATGTTAAGAACGCTGAGTTCAGAACGCGGCGGACTAAGGCAGTAAAGCGGAAGAGTCAACACCAAAACCTGCAGTCTTGCGCCGTCAGATCCGAAGCCCAACGCTTAACTCCGTAATCGCTGCAACCCCCAGACCCTAAGCCTAAATCAATACCTCGAGCCGTAAGAGCTAAAAGCTTCACGTCCTGAAGTCCGAGACCAAAAAGGCCTAAGCCCTAAACCTTGACAGCCCTTAACCCTAAAGCCTTTAGCAAGAACCTGGGCGTCTGAAAAACCCGAGCACCTCGAAGTTTCAGCGGGCGCAAACGAGTGGCCAAAGAGCCCAGGAGCGCGATGTCTGTCTGGTCACATGGCAAGGGGTCCCAAACCGCGGGTTCTCTAGGTGTTGCATAGGGCTCCATAGGAGTCCTGGTGTATGTTTACACAAGGTTCTTCAGGGTTCTTGAAGGGTTCGTTAAGAGTTCTGACGTTGAGCTTTTCGGAGCTTCGAGTGCCTAAAGCCCTGCATCCTAAACCCTAAGCCGTAGGATTCAAGCTCAGAGATTGAGCAGTTCTGAACTTCTGGATATCTCACTCTCTGAGCCTAAACCCGGCAGCCTAAACCCCCGACAGCGAAGCAAGAGCCCAGATTCCAAAACCCCTGCAGTAGTTTCGCAAGCCAGAGCAAATTGAGACAAGACAGATCGCCTTATCAGTTTAGATCTGGTGCGCCCTCTACCGAAGGTGGGGGTGGGCCGGATTCTGCCGGTTCTGCACAGGAGCTTGCAGAAGCCCGGCCCCAAAGGTGAAGAGAAGCGGAAGCCGGAAGCCTGCGAAGCCTGCCTTCGAGGGGGCGTTTTCAGCCTCATAGCTCACTTCTACTTCTCCGGCGCAAAGCCCATATGGAATTTAAGACCTAAGCACAAACTTGCCAAGAGCTTGGGCCGGCGGCTGCAACCTGCAAGAAGTCAAGAAGGGTCCAAAACAGGTGCGCCTGCGATGGAGGTGTTTGGGGGGAATCCCGGACGAGAGCCTGAATGTGGACCTCTGGCAAACAGCACGCCTTGCCTTCAGAATCCCTCTCAATTGTCTTCCTCGTTCTGCGAAGCAGAGCCATTCATCGAGGGTCCACGTCATGCCTGGGGTCCTAGATCCCATGGCTTCATCTCAGCTTCTGAGGCCATGTCTGGCTCAAGGCATCTCTTGCTCATGACTTGTCTTGCCCTCGTCTGAGAGATTCGTGGCGCCGGGTCTGGTGTTGTACATAAGTCTGTTCGGTACAACACAGAAGTCCAAAGTCTGTTGTCTTTCATCGTGGTGATGGTGATGCTTAGCAGGCAACGCCTCACGGGAATCCAGAGCTCGCTGGGGAGCAAAGCCGTGGCCATGAAGCCACGAGCCGGCGACGGCAGGCCGCCTGGTCCGCGCGGTCTGGGTGTCTAAGCTTCAGGATGTTCACTGCACCTAGTTGACCCACTTGCGGAGGAGGAGGAGTGTGTGTGTGTGTGTGTGTGTGTATGTGTGTGTGTGTGTGTGTGTGTGTGTGTGTGTCCTTTTCTTGTTTGGGGAGACCAGCTAATGACTGCCCATCCCTGCATCGCAGCATGCGCTTGCGGCTGTATTCCGTGATCGCGAACAAATCCTATGGGATCTCCGTAAAGCAAAATCCCAAGCCCTCGGAGCCGATTTCCTGAGGCCCCACAAGTAGACGCTGGCTTCGTCGCATGGTGCGCGTAGTAACTGGTAGTACTTTTCGGGCAGTGGCATGTGTACATCTGCGCATGCCCTGGAAGGTGCGATAAGGTGCGTCCATGCCACAGGCACATCCGCCATGGTCTCAGGTCTTAGTGAGAGGCATGTCGCAGACGCAAAGTGAGCTGATCTGCTCACGTTTTGCTTTTACAAAATCACCTTGCAGTTTGAGCCTTCAAACCCGTCAAGCCCCCATTAGCAGCTTGGGTTTCGCCTGTGTCAGATGCAGTGCCTGGTGAGTCTCATCTTATTGACAGTCGCACTCGCGCAGGAACCCGAAACGTGCGTGTCGAATGTTGAAGAAGAGTCGTCGTTGCTGGCGGCTGCAGCGCGGAGGAGCGGCAACAAGACCCACGTGACGGAAAGCAAGTTTGCACGAACGGATGACAACATCACCGTCCTGAACGTCACGGTAATCCCTCAGAGCCCCGAAGAGGGATTGGCCTTCGATCGTGATCACTTCGCTGCACTGGATGCCGATGGAGATGGCAACCTGGCAGCCTCCGAGATCCAAGCTGGCTGGTTCAGTAGCAAGAAGATTTCGGAGCTCGAGCACGAGGGCACCTTGAATGTGTCGGCTTCAGCCCTGAGGCTCTCAATGCAAGAAGTCCAGGACATCATTCGCCGTGGCGACCGAGACAACAGCGGCACGCTGACATTCGAGGAATTGGAGACTGTGCTCAGCAGAGAACCCAGTCCCGTGGCAATGACGCAGGTGAACACATCGTCGATTCCCTGCGTAAACACCAACAGCTGGGAAGGCTGGAAGACCTGTCAGCGGGCGGTTAAAGTGTTCTTCGAGTGCAACTGCAAATGGGAGTGGGAATGCCGCGGCTTCATGTGCTCAGAGGGGCTCAATGTCTGGAAGTGCGACCAATGCTTCAACTGGGGGAGCGAGCCCTACCAGTGTTGGGGGACAATTACTAGCCAGGTCTTTGCAGGCTTTGAATCCTGTTTGACGGCAATCACCAACGAAATCAAGAAGAAGGTGCCCGAGGACTTGTTGAAGGTTGTCGACCTCATCGTCGGTTGTGGCCTGGATGCTGATGCGTGTGCCAAAAAGATCCGCGAGAGCCTCCAACAGCTTGGCAACATCGTTGGTGAGTGGTTGGAAAAGAACTTGAACCAGATCAGCGCAACAGCTTCGGCAGAGTTTAACAAACTTGAGGCTCGAGCAACTTCTGCTGTGAACTCCATCCAGGGGATCGGGGACAAAGTGCAGCGTTCGATCACAGAGGTGGGCAAGTTCTTTTCAGGCACTGCGCCTGCTGCCAACACAAACGACTACCGGTTGACAGACAGTGAAATGTGCACGCCTGACGGCGCAGGGAGGCCCGACTTCTCTATTTCGGATTGTGGCGTTTGGGATGCAATGAAGAAGCTCGTCGACGAGGCGGTTCAGGTCTGGACCATCGACAACAACTTCAAGAGCGTGGTGGACAAGATGAAGCAATGCATCGAGAAAAAGTCTTCCGGTTTCCCAACGCCCTTTATGCAGATCAGCATGACCAAAGTCTGCATTCCGAACACCATCAAGGAGCCGGTGAACGCGATCGTATCGACCCTCCGCGCTTCCGTTGCGCTGGGGGAGTCTTCAGGCTTTATTCAGGACGTGCAGAGCATCACTAAAAAGCTCACCTCAATCGCTGGGAACCATCTTTCGCTCATGCAGGATCGGGGGCTGGTTGCCATGTCCTCAGGCTCGCAATTGAGGTGCAGCGACTTCGGCATGATCGTGGCCGAGGCTGCTTTGGCGTCTTCCGCTCCCAACACTCACGCTGCCGTTCCCATCATCCTCCAGGGTCGCTATATGTGCATTGGTGGCCTGGTGACTGAGCACATTTCCGTCAACGTCGGTCTTGACTGGGCCGCTCAGCTCACAGGATGAAGTGGAGCTTGAGCTTCAAG